TGTTAAGAGGTAAAAATAAAAGTAAAACTAACATGCAGCAGATGCGTCTCCGTCTTCATTTTTTTTCGCCGGTGGTTCAGTAGATAGTGCCATTTTACAAAAAAACCATAAATCTTGTCAAATCAAGCGCGTGAATGTTCTGTCAGTAAAAACTGAATCCAAACAGTGGTGTCCCTATTGTACTGGAAAGTTCTATTTCGTGATGATGTTCAACAAGATGCTGTTTTATTTCGTGTGCCACGAGCCAAATGGTACCAAAATTGCCAGTGCCGGGTTTCCCATATTAGTGATGTTGCTAGAATTTTTCCACATGTCAACCTATGCCAGGCTTTTTGGTCACAGCTACATGCCTCCAGTTAGTATCCATCGCCTGTTCGATGTATATGCACCAGTTTTCTAGGGACCAACTTAGTAGTCCTCTGCTTCCTCGCTGCAACCATCTATTGTCCATCGGATTTTACTTTCTCACCTATTCGCAATAATTCCTTGCCTGTCGCTCTCGTCTGGAGGCGAGTCTGATTGTTTAATATATGGTTATCATTTCTTCTTTTGTTACTCTGTCGAGAGGGGTGCCCAGTTTTTCACATATGCTTAGGGTTAAAGAAAAAATGTGAGAAAAAACGATAAAAAACAGGTAAGGAATTATTAAAGTAGGTAAGAAATGTTTCGGTGTCCATTAAGTCGTATACATTTCTTACCGTTACCACAATTGGAACTCGTCAGCACCACGACTGTGGTAAAAGAATTTTGAAAGTTTATTAAGTAAGAGGGGAACTAAATAAATTAGATAATATGTTGAAAAGTAAAAGGCAGAATGGAAAGTCGAAAAAAAGTTGTAAAAAAGTAAAAGGAAAAGTTGAAGAAAAAGTAAGACAGATAGTGGATGAAGGTAAATGTATGTGGAAAAGTATGAGGAATTTTTGTATATATCCCTCTCCATTTCCGTGCATTTTTTTGAAGACCGATTGAAATGGACGTTCGACTACTTACACACACAGTTTTTCTAGTTTCCCCCGTGGACATACATGAAAAATCTGAGAAATAACTGATATTTCAAGCTCTGCGACGTTTTTTAGGCAAAATTGGCATGAATAGGCTCCCACAAGCCGTCAGTGTGGTCTTTTTTTCAGGAACTTTCTTCGATTCGGCAATTTATTATAGAAAAAATTCGACTAGATATAAATCGAGTTCCTGGGCTTACTTTTGAAAACATTCTGCGCGGTATCCGATTGCATTACATCCTTGCCACTATGATATTGAATGGAAACAATGAGGTTTTTTTTATATTTGATTTTTATAAAAATTTTCGATTTTTCCATTGGTTAGGGTCAAATGTAAGAAGATGAATACATAAGCCTTCTTATATTTTTTCCCTTGCAAGACGGAGTTGCGTTGTGGTGAAGTGTCTTGAGTGATAGCGCTGTGCTAATAAGAATTCCGTGGAAGATATCTTCCCCTAAAGTCTAGAACAAGTTGAATGCAGTTTGACTTTCTGGTGTTTAAAGTAGTACAAATTTTTTTATATCAAAGCGAATTGAAGGAAAATTTGTTTTTTCGCTGGCAAATTGGAAAAAAAAAACACAGATTCAGTTGTTAAATTTGTTGCAAATTACTACTGCACCGGCCTTGTCACTTTGTGATTACGTGCATCGGAACTGCTCCAGTGTTTAGCTGTTCCATATGCTCTCCCAGAATAATTCTGTCTTGCTGATTGAATTTGCTTTAGCAAATGCCTTTTGTATTTGTCATATCTATCGAAGTACAGCTTGAAAATAAGGATTTAATTACAGCACCAATAAAATATAACAGGCTATCGCGACCCTAATTGTTAACATTAGACTAGTGTATGCCACGTTTGTATGTGTGGGTAAGACGTCGCGTCTTGTATACAGGCTTATAATAAAGCGAGAATACATGTTAAACGAGAATACAAATAAACGTGGTAAGGCCCGGAGCTCCCCAGAATAAGAGTATTGATTAAATAGAAGAAATAGGTCGCAAGTAAAATAGAAGTGGTGGATAGGTAAAACAATGAAGATCCCGACGATCCGGGGGAGGAGTGCTTTTATACCCCAGGGGACAAAGATCGAAAGATTAATGAGGGTAGGGTGGTGGTAAAATTTTGAAACCAGGGACAGGGGTGCTGCGTCGTAGTAACGCAGTTGATCTTTAATCTATTTTTAATAAAAACCATTAATCATTATTTGATATATTACGCGATAAAGCAATTGTAAAAGAAGCAGCGACGCGAGCAGGGCGCACGCGGTGCCGGACAACAATCAATAGGGCAGGAAGGGTCGGGCACTTCGCACACGCTGTGCACTTGGAAAGGCACACTGGCTGTCTCCCTTCAACCTTGCAACCTCTGCTGAATACAACACATGCCACAACAGAGCAAAACATAAAGATTATTGTCTTACCTCCCGCGGAAAGGAGTGTCATACATCATAGTAGGAAATTTGAGTAAAATTTCTTTTGTAAAATTAGATAAAATATGCCTTGTTCTAATTTCGTCTGGCCCTATGAAATTGGCCTTATTTTAAATTCGTTTTTCACTTCTCATTTATATCTTTTTATCTTAATTAATTTATGCTACTACAGTCGTCGTACTGATGAGGTCCAATTGTGGTAACGGTAAGAAATGTATACGACTTAATGGACCGAAACATTTCTTACCTGTAACAAATATTTCTTTAGACCCCTTTCCTATTTTAATACCCTTTACCTCCTTTTCATTGTTTTCTCCTGATATTTTCCTCTTAACCTTTAATTAGTGATGAATTTAGCATTTATTATCTATGCTCATTATGCTTTAATCGGTTGTTTAAGGAGGAGGAAGAGGATTTGCTGCTAAGTATGCAGAATGATGTGAAATGGTTGAAAGAATTGGTCATGCCCGAGTTCGATGCAGATTTAACCGATCGTCAGAAAGATATGCTTACCCAAGTTGTTGAGGTAAACACTCGTTTTGGTATGTGAACTGATAATTGTATCAAATGCTATTGCGAGCTTTTTGATAGCGAATTGGCATTTTGCCAGGAATTCGAACACACATTTTATTATTTTTTTTTTGCTGGTCCTAAAACAATTTGATGGTTTTAGTGGTACGAAATTAAATTTTGCCTTAGACTGGCCCTTTTATTTTGCACAGTTCTTAAAAGTTTTTTATGATGGGCTTAGAATTTATTACATTATCTATGCTTATGATGCTTTAATCGGCTGTTTTTATGCGTTTTGTGCTGTGTAACAGCATTACAAAACGCATATTGTCG